CAAATCTATGCAGAAAACTGATAAACTTTTGGAAAATATTCCTTCCTTCAGTGTATATTCTTTCCTGCTTCTATATCCTTTAAAGAATTAATCCTGAGGAATTAATCCCCTTAGTTTTGAGCTACCTATGGGAGTCTCTCAGTATGCAAGAACTGCTTTTCGCAGAATATAACCATAGCCTGGTAACCCTTCTTGGATTTATTACTTAACAGCAGAAAGTTGTCTTTAGGCATTGCAGGTTGATTCCTTAAGCTGATTGTTTCTGAATTTTTGGCTTTCATTTGGATTATACAACTCCTTGTATGTGTCTAGAGTATTTTATTTTATTGGTTTTGCTTGTATAATTATCTGGAACGTATGTAGACTTGCTACTGGAGAAGACACATAGCCATGATCCGGCACCGGTGTGTGGTTGAGTGAACTAAATTATACCTACAGAGTAGACGGGTCACTGCCGAGCGCTGAGAGGGAGAAAGCCAAAGAGCACCTGTGAGAAAATATGTAGAGACAGTCCCTGAGAGAAGAAGAGAACTAAAGGTTTCTCAGGTGTTTCATTTTGAAGAAATGTGACGTCTCCCTGTCTTCTTTCCCTTTCTCTCTCTTGAAAAAAAAAATAATTTAAGTTAGCACTTTACTTCTCCCACTGCAATCTGACACAAAAGACCTTCTCAAATAAATCACTCGTGCAGTTGTCTGGTATGACACAATGTCAGATGCTGTCTTTTTGATAAGTTCATTTCCTAAGCAATTTGTTTAACCCTTTTTACAGGCATTGTTTTCTCTGACTAAGTCGTGAGTCATTTTCAACACATGAGTACTCCAGGGAAATGTCACACTCGTTGCTTGTTTCTCTGCCTGCCTGGCTTCACCATATGATTTTTATAAGCCAAAAGACAGAGTTCCTCTTTTAGTTTGTCCCATTCTGCTGACAACTGGCTGTCTTTGGATCCGATTGGGCTACTCTGTAGGTTGATACTATGGTTTTATAAGGCAAATGAAGTACTTGGGAAAGACACCCCCAAGAGTACCAAGCAAAATGCAGATGCTCTTAGGACCCCATCAGGAAGGGTACTGCTCATCACAGTTGTGTTGTGCTGTGACTCTGTCTCAGAAATCAGTTCCAAGTTGCTCTTAAATAGCTACCACCAGTAAAACAAGATTGTCTAGGAAAAATCAGAGTGATCATTTTTCATCCCAAGGACTTGTTTTAGGAAACAAAAAAGCTGTCATTCACCTCAACAGAACAGATGGGCTGAGGGCTTGTAAAGGGTCTTGTTTGTTTTTTCTCTTGGGGAAAAAAAAAAACTGTTTGCCATTTAAAAAAAAAAACCTCTTCTTAGCAGTTTATATTGTAAGCATACTCATAAATTCAAAAAAGTGTACCCAAACTGCTTTGGATTTTCTGTGTCGTCTTTGCCTGAGGGCAGCCAGGGACAAGTGTTTGCACCCAGGTGTAGTGACAGAAGACAGGAGTGAAGACTGTGGCAATCTCAAAAGAAAGCTCCCCTCAGGAACCGGCTTCTGAAGGAGCAAATGTAACTATTAAGAGTCCTGGGCACACCTGCTGTCACAAGAAAGGAGTGTCCCAAAGACTGTTCCAAGATACTGCAGTTGATAGCTATAAAACCCTTATCTAATTCAACGTAAGCGCAAGGCTCTTGGCTCCCCGTCCCACTCCTTTAATCTTCTCCTTTCTCTTCCTCTCTTTGTTTAAAACTCCAGAGATTTGAGCTTATACTTCAATGGTCTGATGATGTTTTAAAAAGGAAAATAAATTAGGAGATTTTCTGAGTAAAGTGCTACTGCCTTGTAGTGCAATTTGGCTTGTGGCACACAAGTCCTTGAGAATCAGGTACCCTGTTTGTGATCTTAATCTTTCCTGAATAGCTGCTGTGCTACAGGAGCATGAGCTGTATGCCTCTGGAGAGTTTATCTAGGGGACCCTGTGTAGATCCCTTGGATTGCCTTTGAATGTTCTGTTCTTTTCTCTAATGAGTTACTGCTAGTTGTAAGCATGCTGTACTTCAAAGGCTGAAGGGCATTAATCATCCTCTTAAGGCTTACGTGATGAGAGACGTGGATGCTGGAATTGCTACCGTGGAGAGACAATTGGATGCTGGCCACTCCTTGTCAGGGTAACTTAGGAGCTCATACCCATAAAGGATCGAAGCCAAAACCCTTTTGTCAATATTTGGATTGGTACTGAAGGAGAATGAGCGCGTTATGAAACTCTTCACTAATCCTGAGAATATTCCAGCCTAATTACGTCATCTAAACTTTTGAAATCTTCTTTGTTCTGTCTGTAGGGCCATACTGTGGTAATGCGATGCCTGTCCCCAAAGAAATCATTCTGGATAGCAATGAAGCAACTATTCACTTTGAGAGTGGATCCCACGTGTCAGGACGAGGCTTCCTGTTGTCCTATGCCAGTAGTGATCATCCAGGTAAAGTGAAATCCAAAAATACTGAAGGATTAGTGACACAGTCACCCCTATTTTCATTATCTTCTCTGCACACATAGACTTTAGTTCAAATGTTTGGTCCTAAATATTTCCGGATTAGTGTGAACCACGATATTTTTAACAGCATGTGTGCAAGAAGCAGTTGTAACATTAACCATATAAAATAGCTGCTGAAATCTTACCTATACAAATTGGCCCAGTACAGGGCCATACAGGCCCAGTAAAAGAGAAAATTAGTACCTTCTGCTTGAAGCTCCACTGTATTCTGGGCTCTAGCTTCTATCACCCAGTGATAGAAAGGATGAAGGGATGGGGTAGATTAAGATTTGATTCCTACATTTGATGTTCTGGGGATCTGTGCAACTTTATTGAAGGTGTAAAATGTAAGAAGAATAGAAGAGAGATTAAAAGAATGAGGGGAAACCATAGCTCTTGCTTTCTATCTAATAAAATTGTTTAAGTATTATACAGAGAGATCTCTAAATGTCATTTCATGTGTAGCCAAATATTTGTCTGTATTTCTACGTCTTGCGATGGGGATTGACTTTTGTAAACTTTTCACAGATCTAATCACATGTTTGGAACGAGCGAACCACTACACAAAGGCCGAATACAGGTAAAGAGGGTTTGCAGCTCTCTGCGCTGTAGCTGTCACCTGGTCCGACTGTTAGAGAATGTCATGTAAGGCACGTGCAGCCTTGGTTTTTGGGGGAAGTGAATTTCTTTGAGCTCTGATGCTGCAATAGTCCAAGGCCCAGTTGTGAGAAGCAGTGGTGCAGGACGGAAGTCTGTGGCCCAGAAAGATGAGGGAACAGAGTTACAGAGCAAGTCTCATTTGAGAACACGTATAAGTGGTATATGTAAAAAGGGTTTCCACTTTGAAATTCAAAATAGCCTCAAATTCCAGTGTGTCTCCTAAGAGTGGATCACACCCTAGCTGATACAAGATTATCTGAGGACAAGCTATAATTTCTTGCTTCTTTGAACCTTGTGATAGGGTTTGAAATGGTAATAAATTGTGCTCTTCTGGCTACTGTCTGGATGTGCATGTAGGCTTCTTATCTGGGCTATGCTGAAAACTCGTGAGATAGCATTTTTAGAAAAAGAGAATTAAACAGAAATGCCCTTGCAAAACTGCTTTTCTGGTTCTTTGTGTGCTGCTGTGTACAGTCCACTCATGAACTCCAGGGCCTCCTGGACTCACTAACAGACTATCAGCCAGAAGTTACTGCTAAAATATTTATCATTTTGAGATAATTTCTTTTATGGGAGTTTGTTTCTGTGTATCATCACTACAGTTCACATTTTAAACAAGCCTCTCTTCTCTCACTACAGCAGATACTGTCCCGCTGGCTGCAGAGACATAGCAGGTGACATTTCTGGGAATATCGGAGAAGGATACAGAGATGTAAGTACACAGGATAATGAGGGGAAAATTGTAAAAACAGAAGAGAGAAGCATAGCACAACTTGGTTTCAACTGTTGCAGCTTGGCTTTTGTGAGGAATTCTTCCCAGTTGTGTTAGATATACCTTTTATTATCAGTATATGAGCATGTTATCAGTATACAAGCACAGGGAGATACTTTTCAAACAGACCAATCGATCTTGGGAGAACAAAGTCCATTGATTCTCAAATACACCTACTGGCTTGTGGTTTCTGGCTTTCTGGAGAAACCCTGCACTTTTGAGGCAGTGCTATTCCTATGACTTCAGGTTTTACTAGTTTGGAACCCATGTGCATTTCTTTTCTAAAGCTATCTTTTGTAGGAAAGGAAATACATTTCAGTAACACGCGGGTTTTCTTTACAATTATGCCTGCAGTATCCCAGCAATCTGCTCTGAGATGAAATAAATAATTATACACTGCTTAATCACGTCCCACTGATAACTACAAACCTCTTGGGTTGTTTTAACTGCTTGTTCTTTAAAGCGAAGAAGTTGCCTGAGTGGCTGCATTTATCCACAGTTCACATCACACGGTGCTCTGCCCTCTCTGTGCCCCTCACCCTGGACTCTCCTGTCATGCCTGTGAAATCTTCACATCTCTACGGTGGAGTCAGTTGAATCATACCGCTGAAGTAAAATCCCACCCTATCACAAATATAGTAGTTGCTGAGTTTCCAAAACGTCAGTGTTCACGTTTAACCTGTTCATCCAGTTATTTGAGCACCCTGCTCCAGCCTGGAAAGTGGCAGAGCTGAAGCAACAAAGAAATGCCATTTTACATTCTCATTAGCTGGAGTTATTCCTGCCCTTCGTATGGGTGATTAGGAAAGAAAAGCAGCACATGGCGTGACCTCATGCAGATCTTATCTGCGCTGAGGAATTTTTGAAAGAAAGTTTCCCTCCACTCTTAAGAGGGATTAAGCTTTTCTGGTGGGAAGAACCTGGGGGGCTCCCCTGAAGCCCTGCTGCTTTTGTGTCCCCACCCCTCCCTGGAGGGGACAGACGGGCACCCCAGCTTGTGGAGCAGTTGAGCCCAACCTGTACCCATGTGAACGAGACCAGTAGCCCCCAGGAACGTCTCCTTTGCACCTTTCCACTGGCCCTTCTCTGCCCTGCCCTAGCCCAGTGGTACGTTATTGCCACCTAGTTGGCACACAAGCTGTCCTGCCTGGATTTTTCTGCGTTATCCCACCTGAGATATGGGCCAATGGGCTACACTTTAAAAACCCAGCAGCAGCTAGTCAACACATAGCCAAATCTCCTAATGTGTGCCATGGCCCAAGCCCTAGGGTGCGATAGTAGATAGGTCTGCCTTCTGGCAATCCCATCAAGTAATTACCGTTTTCTCTTTGCAAAGAAGAGTTGCCTTGCATTTGACTTGGTTTTCCTGAAAAGTGATGCGATACTTACCAGGTTAAAATCTTGCAGTGAATTCTCAGAAGCAGATTATTTGCTTTTTCATTTGGAGAAAAAAAAAAAAAAAAAAAGGGGAGTGACAAACCACGCTGTCTGGAGAGTGCTGGGGTTTGCTCCACGCCTGCCTGCAGGGATGCTTTTCTCCGGGTACAAACTCTTCTGTGGCACATGAGACATGATTTTCACACTGATTTTAATGACTGCCCTTCGTAAAAACAGTTCTCTGGAGCTGTGGTCCCTTGGAAGGAATTCCCTCGAGTCCAGCAGCCGCTGGGGGCAGAGGGATTTGCAGCATCCCTTTGGGGAGGATGAGCCTCCTCATGTTTCTTGGTACCACCCCCTTCCCTCGCCCCACATCCCTCTGTGCTTCCGAGGGGAAACCAACCACTCCAGCATCCAGTCTCGTTTTGGGGTGAATCCAAGAAGACTGAGTTATTATTGCAGCGATCACCTTCACCTGCCATTAAAAAATTTCACTCTGTTTAGTAACTACCGCTGGGCAAACGCCGTTACATCCCCTTGGCTGTTGGATTTGCTCTGTGCAAGCCCAGGTAGATACATTATTTGCTTTTTCTTTTGAAAAAAAAAAAAAAAAAAAAAGGTGACTTGGAAACATATTCTTTTCAAAGATTATTGCTCTTTCTCCCTCCCCTGCCGCTGAGTCCTCTTGAGCCTTTGCCGGATTGCGTGAGCTGTAGCAGCGGTGTGCTCGGGGCTCGGAAGTGAAAAGCATTAGCAGTTTGTCAGGCTGATCCTCTGAGCTTTGGCTTGTTCTGCCTTCCAGACCTCGCTGCTGTGCAAGTCGGCCGTCCACGCGGGCGTTATCGCCGACGAGCTGGGCGGTCAGATCAGCGTCACCCAGCAGAAGGGCATCAGCCGCTACGAAGGCGTCGTCGCCAACGGCGTCCCCTCGCACGAGTGAGTACCACCATCAGGGTGTGTGTTTTTGGGGGGAGGGAAAGAAGTTAGGCGTGGGTCTAGGGGCTCTGGGGCTTTGTTTCTACAGCTCTATTAAAATGGTGTTGGCATTGTATATAGGAAAATGTTCCAAGTTTTCAGTGGCTCTATACCACGTAAGGCAGTATTTTCTTTTCTTTTTTTTTTATATTCCTTCTGTTCCTTCCAAAACATATTTGCAAATTACTTTGTTAGCAGATACATGAAAGTATGATGTTCTGCAACAAACACCTTTAATCGATGTGCTAATAAATCATGCTAAATTCATGTTAAAGTTTAAAAAAAGCGAGGAAGAATGAATAAATAAAAAGTGCTGTTGAGCCATAGGGGATTTAATGAACAACTTCTTAAACATTGTGCTTTTGACATGTTCAAAGTTTTTCTCTTTTAGAATATTTATAGCAAGGGTGTTATATTTACCACTTCTCTTCTGACTTTTAATTGTACTGTTGTTGAAGTAGAAATAAATCCTCTAATCTCTATCCAGCACAGTAAGCCCTTCCAGCAACTGCCTCTGTCATTCCTGTTGGTTTATATTTTTTAATTTTCAAATGTTATCTGGATTTTACATGAGGCTTTTTGTAGGAAGGCAAATCTCTTCAGTCCCATAGTGTACAAGAGCTACAGGAATATGTCTTTTTTTATACTTTTTTCCAGTTTTCCCAATGATTTATCCACACCCTCCTGACAATTTTACAATCATGGTTTCACAAAAAAATCCCAAACCCACATTATTTTGATCTGTTGCTGTGCTTAATCTGCAGATTGAAATGCTGTATATGTAAGGGCACTGGAGTATATGAAGCTGGGTAGCATGTAGACCACTAGCTAAAGGTGTGGAAAGCTTAAATATTTTCTATTTCTCTTGAAAGTTAATTGACAAAGAAAATTAACATAAACTTGTCTCGGGCAAAGCAGGACTGAGAGCTCAGCTCAGGCACCAAGTCCCTCTATAAAAAAATAATATAAATTCTTTTCATCACACATGAAACCCTAAATGAACTATTTTGTGCTATCACACTATTATCTAAAGACGTTACAGAACTGTCTACATACATCTGTATGGTCGTGATCCTTAAGAATCCCAGAAGGAGCAACTCGGACAGTAGCACATAAAATGTTATAATGGAAGGCAGCTGGGGTTCCTGTTTGTATTTTTTTCACAGTGGAAGAGCTAGTGGGCAACAAATGAAGCAGATAAGACAGCAAATGTATATGTGCTGGCAGGAAAACACTCTTTGCATAATTAACCCACCACATTAACTGCCAAGCGTCCTTTTAATGTTGCTGCTCACAAAATATCCTATATATTTCACATGAGTAATAGGAGTACTCACAGAGATGCAAACTTGTCGCTGTTACATCAAGTGGGGAAACTCCAATTTGCTTGAAGAAGAGCTGAAACGTGTCCTTCCAGGCTGAACCCAGCCTCCAGGGCTTGAAATTGGCCCATTTAACGTGAGGCCCCTGAGAGAGCACCCCAGCCAGGCGTGCAGCCCCCTTAGCTCTCCTGCCTACGGGGGCAGACAGAGGCACTCCTCCAGCACGGTCCACATCTCAAAGGGGATGAATTGCCCCAAGGAGTCAACTCTTGCTTTCCACAGATTACACAGGGAGCCACAGGCAAATGGGCTCACGCAGGGATGGGTGCCTGCAAGCTAGATGGCACGGATTTTGAGAAAAATGGGAGTGTGAGCACAGCGCTTCTCAGGATGCTTCTGCTGCTTCTGGCAGCTGGGACAGTCCCGGGAGCAGATGAAGTGCTGGTGTGAACCCGTTATCCCAGGGGTGGGAAATAGGAGGACTCAGGGAAATTCTTTGATTTCGAAACATGAAAAAGTGTTCCTAGAAAGAGTGGGTCTATTTACTAATAAAATGAGCCAATGCGTTTCCTGATTTAAAAAGGCTTTTGTAAGAGGCATTTCCAAAGCTGCATGGCTTCCCTGTCCTCAGGATACCTACACGCTGCAAGAAATTCCTGTGGAGTAGCCAGTGGATGTCAGTTTTAAAGGTTTGAATTATTTAGTGACTTGAGCTGAGACTGACCTCACGGAAAGCTGCTGCTGGAGCACATCCAGCTGTTAAATACCTGCCCTGTAAGGTGACGGGGGAGTCATGGCTGGTCCCCCCACCAGCCACAGGAGCTGACCTGGGCCTCCCCAGCGGTGCTTGTTACGCTACGGCACCTGCTGGGTCCTCAGTTCTCACAATCCCTGCCTGGACCCACACCTGCAAAGGCTTTAATGATGATCAATCGGCTGGATTTATTGGGCAATCCCAATATACCCCAGTACAAATAATATGGGGGTTTAACCTTGTCATGTGAGCTGGCCCGTGACTCTACGTCACTGCACGTGAAATCATTTGTCTTTGAAAATGCAAGAGACCACGTGCTCACGAATTGTGAAGGGTGAGATTTGGGGTTAATCTGCGCTGCGTGTAGAAAGCTTGTTTGAGACCGACTTGAGGGGGAAAAAAAAAAGTATCTGATGCTAAGAGAAATTTATTATGGGGAAGCAGGATCCTTTTTTTGCAGAGCTACCAGCACAGGTTTCCCGTGCAGTCCTGCCACTCGTAATGTTGGAGAGGCAGGATCCTGAAGGTTGTCAGGAAAATGAGGGGCACCGGCCAATACCAGCCCTTAAAGGACAAACTGAAATTTGTGTGACAAATGCCACCTGTCACATTAGGAAACTGATGGATTACCACTTACTGAATTAGTTTGTCCTCTTTGGTGACTTGCAGAATGATAGCAGAAATATTTCAGCTTGATTTCGTAGCTTTATAGACCTTAGAAATTCTAACCTCCTCCCTTTGTTGCTAAAATTGCAGCTCTCTATTTGAAAGGGATCTGGGTGACTTTTTTATTACAAAGCATTATCTCATAAATAAGTATTCAAGGAGCGCTGTGATTTCTGTTTGGGGTAGATTTTACTGATCACCATGGGCTTTTATTTTCTTCTTTTCTCTTGAAATGGATTGCTTTGTATTCACTAAGAAAGCAAAAATTGTTTTGGCTGGAATGTGGAACTGGTTTGAAGCGAGCAGAGCACATCTGATCGCCCCTGAGGACTGCCTGGGGGGAGATGTGGGAGGGAGGGCTTGAGTTTCTCCTTCTAGCTGCTCTACCGCCTACGTGCCCAAATAAATCAGCTCCCTCCCAGTGCTCTCCCTCATCTCCAAAGGGCTTCGTTTGCCTGTTGTCGTTAGTTTTCCCTCAGTGACAAAAAAAAAAGGCAGTGTTTTTATTGACCTTGACGTGGGACCGCTTTCCTGTCCCCCTGTTTGCGGGGCTCTCAAAACATATAGCCCTGCTCGTCGCCAGGAGCCCACAGACAGAACCTCGGGGGAAATTTTCGTGGCCAACAACAAAGGGCAGCCTGAAAGGGAGCTGTCTTGACGCTTAAGTGCAGCAGTTGTTTTACTGCTCAGTCACGCTGCTGGCCAAGGCTTTTCCAAAGGGGCAAGCGATGCGTGCAGCTAATTGGAGCGACGTTGAAGGGGTCAGATCTTCAAGAAAGCCAAACGGATTTCACGTTAAAACCCGGGCTTTTTCTTTTTATTAGGCAGCCAGTCAGAGTCGTTGCTTCTGGAATGAAACCCGAGGGGTGTCTTGTTGGGAGTCAGGACGCAGCTCCACGGAAGGCCAAGGAAAGCAGAGCTTTCCCTCACGGCGTCGGTTCTGCCTTGTCCTGCGATGTGCAGGGTTGTGTGGAGTGGCCCAAGAAATGGATTCTCTCCTGAAGCAAAGCAGCCCAGAGCAGGAGGAGGAAGAAAAGCCAGGGCATAGGGGTGGTCCTGTTAATGGCGCAAAAAGAACCATTCCTGACAGGAGCTGTTGGTCAGGGTTATAACAGAACCCGTTCCCACCTAAATTAAAACAAGGGGTAGTTTTCCCTCAGCCTGGCTGGGATACACCTGTAGTCCAAGTAGGACCATCGGAGCTGATGTACTTGGTCACCATCAAGTGTTAACTCTTTCACTGTGCTTAAGGCTGGATTTTCTTCAAACTAGACAATAGAAAATCATTGATTTCAGTGAAGATGCTCTAATTTAAGCTACCGCGGGTGAGGAGACCTGGGCCTGGTGCTGGAGCAGTGCATGGCCAGTACCTCCAGGTCCTGTCAGCTTTTCCATTCCAGGCTCTTTTGAATGTTCTCGTGGTGCTGGTCCGAGGAGCAGAAGGGAAGAGCTTTCCCACTGCGGTACAGAAGCGTGCAGCAAGAGTAATGGGCTGATGGGAGGGGGAGTCCCTTTAAAGCATAACCAGTGCTCAAAACTGTTCAAAAAACTGATGTGAGTTCAGTGACGGTGAGAGATGCACAAGAGTGCTCTTGCTGGGGTTGGTAACCAGCCTGCAAAGTAAGTGGCTGGCTGGCAAGAGATATTTTGCCGGATAAACAGTGATTCTGAAACCGTACCTGGGCATTCCCGTGACCTCCTCCTGAAAGGCTGAGTTACCTTTCTTTCTTTTCTTACAGTGGTTCGCTGTCAGATAAGCGGTTTATATTTACTTCAAATGGTAAGACTAATGGCTTTCTGTTTAGCTATTCAAATTTTACCTTTTTATTTAAGTATTTGCTGTAAAAGTTTTGAAAAGGAACCAGGTGAGTGTCAGGCTGTGTCTAGGAAGGATGTTTTAGGACAGCAATTTTTTTAAATTGGCAAGTTGAATTAAAAAAAAATTGAAGGGATGTGAAGTGAGCTAGGAAAAAACCACAGAATAGGAATAGGTCATACACACATAGATGAGAAACAGAAATAGTGTTCGGCTGTTACATTTCTGGTGCCAGCATATGAAAAATGACAATCAGATAATCCCGTTTTAATGTACTTTAGGCGGCAGAAAATGAAAGCAGTTTTTCTTCAGACATTTATAAATTCCATCTTTGTTATAAAGAAGAGAATGAAAACATAGAGAGGAATGAAAATATATTTACATTGCACTGATACAGAACGAGTTTTTGTTTATGACTTTCCAAGATGCAAAAGTGTCTTTAATCTGTCAAGCTGTTCATTTGCATAAAACATAGCAAAGAGGGGGGAAAAGTTCGTGCTCGTTCATTCGAATTGTATTTCAGTCATCTGAGATAAAATCATTTACTATTTCACTGAAAACTGTAGAGCATGTATAGGCCTTTGAAACTGCCAGGGAATTATTTTTAACTTCATTGAAACCTTATTCCACTGTTTTGTCTGAAGAACCTTGATGTGTAGAAATTTTGCGGGTTCTTTGGTGGAGTTTGTAATACTTACCTCCAGCTATTGTCTTCATGATATCACCTCTTGGCAGCAGTATCAAGGAGCTTCTCTAATGAGTAACTTTTCTAGCCCTAATTACAGGTGAGAATCATGAAATATTTACAGTAAAGTGTTCATTTCAATACAGTGCCTTCATCTGAGAAATGTTTTGTACAGCAAAATTAGTTAGTGCCAATCTCAAAATAAATATTATGTTTCAGAAAGAAAATTTAAAAATATAAGAAGAATTCACAGGAATGAGACACAACTGCCGAGATAAAACAAAAAATGGCAAAAATAGCAGATGTAGAAGGTTTCATGAGTTAAACTAGTAGAGGGCCTGCAGCACTCTGGTACTGGATCATCCACTATAAATTGACTGGCAAACACGAAGCTAATGGATAGCATCAGGCTAGCACTAGATTAAGCAACATCTGACTTTGCCGGTGTGGGTGGTCTTCATATGTTGCTAGCCTAATATAAAAATATGCTGTGAAAACGCAAAATAACTCCTTCTGCCTGTCTGTGTGGGGACTCCTAGGCTGCAACAAATCTCTCAGTCTGGAAGAGGGATTCCTCTCCAAGAGCCAGGTTACTGCATCTTCCTACTGGGAGGAGACAAACGAATTTGGGCAACTGTTCCAGTGGTCTCCTGACAAGGCTTGGCTTCACGTCCCAGGACTGGCTTGGGCCTCTAACCACAGCAGCAATCGTGAATGGCTGGAGATAGACCTGGGAGAGAAGAAGAGAATAACAGGTATGTCACTGCCTGGCTATTAGGAGCTGGGGATTCAGCTGGAGAAGAAACTGAATGCAGCCAAAAAGCTAATAATGCTTTAATGTAGTGTTTCTTTCATTAAATGTAACAAAATGTTCTGCAGTGAGGAATATTGTTTTCCTATTTAAAAAATCATGGCTATTTACAAGACTGGTCTTCCTATGGATATAGGATTGAAGTCAACTGTCATGCTTGCCTGATCTGTAAACGCACTGTCACGCCCCAAACAAAATACACAGGGAGCAGTAAAGTCTGGATGGATGATAAATGATTGCTTAGGATCTATTAAAGATGCAGTTCTGGAATCAATAAGAAACATTAAAATCACAGCCTTTGAAACAGTGGTCCAGGTGAAGGAAATGCCTGATTCCAACTCCTAGTTGAGTTATAAAAATGTAAATTGCAGTTGCTGCTAAAGATGTAAAGATTAATTATATGGACCACAACATCAAAAAGCAATTACCATTTTTGGAGCTATTCATTTGAGCTCTGTTAAAAATTCCATTGCTCTAAATTCACAATTTAAAACTGATTTCCATTCTTCACTCAACTTTTAAACTCAATTCCAACATAGTTTGAAAAATTAATTAAGACTTTGAAGGCAAAGTTCTCCGAATTGTTTTGGCTTCTGTGTTTGCATTTGAAAATGTTCCTTTAAAACAGACACCTAACAAATGAAAATGTATTTTGCCTTTTGTTAAAAGGGATTAAGACCACTGGTTCTGGATCCACGATGCTGAATTTCAACTTTTACGTAAAGACATTTACAATGAACTACAAAAATAACAACTCAAAATGGAGAACTTACAAAGGGATTCTGAGCAATGAAGAAAAGGTAAGGGAAAGTGGGAGGGGTAAGAAAAGACAGAGCAATAATGCGTACGCTGCCTTGACATTGAAGGGCAGGCTTTCACTGTCAAGAAAGATTAGGAGTTTCAGACTTGTCTAGACTTGGGTTGTCTTCACCGGTGTAATTTATGGCCAAGGAGTAGATAGCGAGCTTGTCGAAACAAAGCAGTTACCCAGGGCTTGCTGAAGTTTTGAGACACACGCAGGGAGGCATATGTATGTGTGTGTCCCTTTTTTTTTTTTTAAAAAAAAAAAACACAACAAACCACCACTGTGTAATTAAAGCTGTACAACAGGCTGTTTGGGCAAGTCTAATGCTCAGCTCAGTGCTTGCCTACGCTAGGAACACTGCACCAGTGCAGTGGTTGGTTTGGCACCAGCAAAGCTGAGATTCAGCTGTAGATGCACTGGGATGGTCAACCCACCCCCCCTACTCCCCCCATGAGAGAAACAACCAACTCTGGTAAAAGCACAGCTCTGCTGGTGGAGCTGCTCCTGTGGACCCAGCTCCTGCTTGGCCGTATTATGGTCACCAGGGGCTGCACCGCTGCCCACCCCTTGCTGGTGGGACCCTTCTGACACCAGGTTGTGGGCACAGCCTGCGTCTGTTAGGAACTGATGTAACTGAACACAAAAAATAAATGCTTTTACACCAAAACACTTGTCTGCACAACAGCTCTCTCAGACTCAATGTCACTTTAACAATGAGCAGATAAAAGCAGTGCAAATAGTTCCTGCAGACAAAGGATGTGCTGCACAGCTCCATCTAATAACATTTTCCCCTGAAAACCTCATCTTTCCTTTCAAACAAACAAAAAAAAGACCACCTCGAACCAAAAGCACCCTCTCCCCTACAACATTCAAAGTCAGACCTTCACCCATCATTTCTGAGGGAGCTCTGCTTGCCTCAGGATAAGGCTCTACCTGGTCCTCAGTCCTGATGGCAGTTTTTAAAAACTTGGTAGAGCTGTAGAGAGGTCTCCTGCTAGCTGTGATTTTCTTAGCTTATATGGCAAGGAATTTCACTGCGAAACATTAACTGGCTTGATATTTTTGTTATACTGAACAGGTGTTAAACTGAAATTGTGTTGGCCCAAAAAGTGACAAGTCAATCTAGTAGTGGCTGAACTGTGAAGGCTGCTATTGAAAACCTGCAGGTTTGCAGTTTTCCACAATGACTTGTTATATACAAATAATCTTATGAAAGTATTATATATGATCTTAGTTTCAGCTAAGGTACACGAAAAAAACCTGTTCCCTGTCCCATCGGAACCCCATGTGGCCTGACATTTTATCTGAGATGTGCTGAGCTCACTTCCCTATCTCATCAGGCTTTTAAGTTGTCCTAGATCATGCTGAAGCATCTCCAAGAATTAATTTTGCAAGGACTAATGTTCCGTACATGGGCTGAGCTGATGCTGGGAAATACAGCGTAAGTGCAGGGAAAAGGAGACAACTGCATCACTCTTCAAGCTTGATACAGAAAACTGACCTTTTCACTAAAATGTCTAGAAATACTTTATTTTTTTTCTTTTTACATTTTTATCCCCTGTTGCCCAAGTAAGGCTGCTGCAGTGCTACTAATCAAAAATGATAGCATTAGGCCAGCATACATTAACTAGAAATTACACAGAATTGAAGCAGAGTGATAATCTTTCTTCTCCGAGCTAACAGAAAAATGTGATCATCTGCTTCTGTCAGAACTAAAAAGATTATTTTATCCCAGAACTCTCAATTCCAAAAATCTTGTGGCTGCATCCCAAATTACCAGTATATCAGTTTTAGGATAATGCAAATCTTTGAAGTTAAAACAGAGTAAAACGTGTGCTTGTGTTTCCTTGCAGGTATTCCAAGGCAACTCCAACTCTGGTGACATAGTACGCAATAACTTCATCCCTCCGATAGTGGCCCGTTACGTGCGAATTATCCCTCAAACCTGGAACCAAAGAATAGCGTTGAAGCTGGAGCTGATGGGTTGTCGAATCATGCAAGGTATGGGGTAAGCAGTGCTGCCCAGGCATGGTGCCCCCAAAGCCCCCTGTGCTGCTGCAGTGCCACTGATGCCCCCCTTCTCTTTTGCAGCTAATAGTTCGTTTACACATTCAATGTGGCAGAGACCAAGCCAGAGCACAGAAACCTCCCTTGGAAAAGAAGACAGGACTGTTACGGAGCCCATCCCATCGGAAGAAACTAACTTGGGTAAGACTACCTTGCACTGCACTTTCTTCAGCCCAGCCTTGAGTGAACTTTAATCTTAATCACAAATCAAAACTTTTATTTTCCCTTCAGACTTCATTGAAGGTTAACGACAGAGAGAAGAGGGAGGAGCATATGTTCTTTTTGTCTTAAGGCACAGAAAGAGATTGAAAACCTTAATTTTCTTTGATGTGTGAAACATCAGGCTGTGGTTTCCCCGTCATATTGGTTTACTTGCCACGCTTGGTAGGTGGCTCAAGGGACTATACCGAGCACTCATTAGCATTTTTTTGAGGAGCTCTTCCTCACTCTCTTCGTATATTTTACAATTTTTGTGATACATGAGGCAGTGGTCTCACAAAAATGTTACCTTCTCTCTCTGCAGCCATGGCTCCTCCCAGAGCAGGTCCCCAGATCGAAGCAACACACAGTAGTGCATGGTTGTGTAACTAAACACTTTTTCCTAGTGCCTGTGTTCACCGGGAAGGCAGAAAACCTTCATTCTCCTACTTCTCCCTGAATATGCAATCTTCATCCTTTAACATTGTGGACCTAATTTCTTAGATCTTAAAAAGCAAGCAAATGAAATTTGTTGTTTATACTGACCATTTGGTGGACCTCTAGCCAGGTGGGAACTACCAGACCCACCACACCAAACACTGCTACCCATTAGGTAGCTGATAGTTGTAGGAATGTCTCTGTAAAAAACTGGCTGTAAAAAGCAAGAAAAAGCTGTAAGAAAAAAAAGCTCTTCTGAAACTGCATTGCTCTTGCCAAGAGCAAGCTCAGTTCGTCTGTGCAGCGGTATGGGTAAATTGTATCCATGTTCACTGAAAATGAAATATACTGAGTTTTCATCTGCTAAATTGTAAATACCCTGTGGACACATGTCCTACCTTATTCTTACAGCCTGGTAAGTGTCTGTAGGAATAGCAAATGGTGCACTCCTGACAAAAGAGCCACCCCACTGCTCATTTTCAAATCCCTGTTCTAAACTATGTTGTGTTAGTATTTAACAGGGGCTAAATGGGTTTTTCCCTAGGTCCACTCCAGGAAATCCTTGAATTATTTTGACTGAAATGTTTTCAACCAGTTCAGCATGAGCCAGATACTCAGCATGTAAAATTGCAGCCTTATTTTTGGCAGTTTTATAAGCAACTGAAAACAGAGTTGTTATGAGTGACTTTTTGTAAGTTACCTAGTGTGTAATAAAAAAGAACTGCTCTTTGTGAGGATGCATATAGATACTAAGCCAAGTTTCAGCCCTGAGACAGTATATTTAACTCTCATCTCAACACTGTTCCACATAGGTACATGTAGGCTGAGGGAAAGGTCTTACAGTTTTATAGTTTCACATTTTCATGCTCTCTTGCAAGGAGTGTTCCTGCAAGATTATCTGCTTTTTACTGTATTCTCTGTAGTAAAAATTACCTGCTTCAGAGCAATTTGCCTTTTAAACTTTTATCTTTTTTTTTTTTTTTTTTTCATGCAGGCTTGAAGCTTACAGCCATAATTGTCCCCATCCTCATCGTGCTGTGTCTGTTCGTGTTCTCTGGAATTTGTATCTGTGCAGCCCTGCGCAGGTAAGATACTGGCTTTTGTCATAGGAGGCATTTGTGGCTACCTAGCCAGCACCTCCAACTGCCTGCCCTCTTTTTCCTTTTAAACTTTTTTTTTTTTTTTTTTTTTTTCTCATGCAGGCTTGAAGCTTACAGCCATAATTGTCCCCATCCTCATCGTGCTGTGTCTGTTCGTGTTCTCTGGAATTTGTATCTGTGCAGCCCTGCGCAGGTAAGATACTGGCTTTTGTCATAGGAGGCATTTGTGGCTACCTAGCCAGCACCTCCAACTGCCTGCCCTCTTTCCAGATCCTCTTTACCAGGGAGCTGGAAACTGATCCTGTTTGGCAGTCTTCCTTTTAAGTAGAACTCATACCATGTCTCTGTAAATTGTATTTGTTATTTTACATCTCCCCTAGTTGGTCAAAAACGCAGGTAAAGCAGGTTAGATCTGCACACCCCAATTTACAGTCCAGTGTAACCAGCTGTTCTTTTCACCCTACAAATACTAAGGTGTAAATCGGTCCAAGATGGAGTAGTTTCCACACCAAAGCAAGTAAAAACTCAGCAAGGAGAGGATTTGAGCTATTTATCTGGACCATTTTCTTTTATTTCCCTCCTGTTGTGCTTCTGCTTCGCAGTCCCTTAAGTTAGAGCACCCAACCTAGGGGCTGAAAGCTGAGCCCTGCTGTAAGGATTTATTTGTACACACACACACTTGTGAGCAGCTAATACTAAGCCACTTCATTTCACGAGCCAGAGGACTGGAAGCAGCACTGCTCACCGGGGTCCATGCTGGATGTCCATTCATAGGAACCTACACTTGCACATGGAGCTGGGAGATGCTGCTGTCAGCAGGTGGGGATCTGGAAGTATAAGCAATGCTCTGGTGGTGTTGCTTCCTCCCTAGCAGCACCCAGCTCTGCCCTGCATTCCCAGAAAGTCTGTAAACTAGCTAAAGAATTCAGCAGAGGCAGTGTCCCACCAAAACATAACCCGGAGTGACACATATGGCCATGGACACATCAAATTGATGAGTGCCAGTCACAGGAAATGTGAACACCGGCACTCACAACTTGCACATAGATGGGGAAAAACAAAATGTTGAAACCCTGGGTTGTGTATGCCTTATGTTATAGTAGACACCAGCCTCCAGAAACTAAAAATGAAGCTTTGTCTTCAGCCACTAAACACAAAGGCCCTCTCTGCTGGAGCTAAGGCGTGAAGCTGAAATGCTGTGAGTGCAGATGTTTATAAATGCTTTCTTCTCCTTGCAGGCGAGAAGCCAAAGGACTTTCTTATGGATTATCCAGTGCTCAGAAATCAGGTTAGTGGAGAATCACGTGCTTTGTCCTGTCCTGTCCTGTCCATCGGGCCAAGGGGAAGGGGTTTATGCAGCTAAGCGTGAAATGCCTGTGAAATAGCATCCACTTCTCTTCATTCAAATTCACTACTTCATACAAGGGAAACAGCAAACGATAGTCCCACTTGTGTCATCCTAGCACAGTGCCCTGAGAAACAATATAATTTGGTTTCTATGACAGAAAGGCAATTAGCAAAAGATCTATTATACAAAGCGCATAAATTAGCATGTAAGAGTGCTCCCAGGTGCCCTCCATTTCCTTCCCTCCTCCAAAATACCTATTTCGCAGAAAATTGCTGCTTTCCTTTTTTTTTTTCCCCCCTACAGCAGAGGGGATTGCCTTTCTCCAAGAGAGCAAAGGCTAATAATTTTTTATGGCTTTAATATTTGCATCTTGCTGCCCTCCCTGGGTGGGACTGTATTTATAAATTCTAACATTACTGAATTGTACTTCACCTGTAAAATCTGAATAGGGGATCAGCTTGAGGAGGTGCTTCAGGAGGTGCCTGCAAAACCTCAGTGAAGTGACAATCTCTGTCTTGCTCAGTAACGCTTTCTAATGTGGGGTCTGCCATCAGCTTGGAAGTTGGGGTTTAGCTGTTTTTCCTGGCCTGCCTTCTCTACAGAAGAATATCCTACTGAATGTCAGCTTTCCATAAAAAAAGAAACCACTAAGCAATCCATGTCTCTTGACAAGTGCCTCGCAGTAGCTCAGCTCCAAAATTTCATCCCTCAGCAGGTGCTGACGTCAGTGAAAAGAACACTGTTACCCACTGCAGCTCGCCCTCATTAGAAAATTAATTTGTACTTAACATCATATTTGCTAATATGATTTTTCAAGGTCACATCATAATCCTTTCTCACTTGCTAATGAGGACAAATCCCAAGAAATTGGAGATAGCCTCTTACCCAGTCAGTTCATTTGTAGCTTGTGTGCTTCATAAAACAAGCTCCTAAGCCCTGGTGAACCAGGCTTGGGACTTAGAAAGCTGGGAGTCGAACCTGCCTCTCCACAGACCTCGTGTCGCAGGCTCCAGGCAAGTGCCTGACACGGTGGATTTTCTCTTTTCTGTCTCACGAGGCTGTTGTGAGAATGAATTAATTGGTATGTGCTCAAATATCAAGGAAACGTAAGCCATACTGGTTTACTGAAAAAAAATTAATAGTTATTAAGCAGTATTTTTGCCACGTAAGCAATGGCAAAACGTGTAACTGATTTAAAGCTGGTATTTTACTGATACACTTTGTTTAAGGCATCAGTGCAGGCACCTACAGAGTTTGAGTCCTTCTTGCCAAGAAAGTCCTCTATATTTCATTTTCACTTGGAAATCCCAGCTGATGATTCACTTTTTCCCTTTCACCCACCAAATTTAGGGGCTGCTTTTTTTTTTTTCCTGCAAACAGCTCATTTCAGTCTTGCCTTTTAACTGCTTCAATATATCAACAGCGATGAGTATTTACACCAAAAATTAAACTTTCTGATAAGCCTTCTGCTTAGGAGCATTTAACTTATATTTTTATTTCTTTACCATAGGTTGTTGGAAACAAATCAAGCAGCCCTTCACCAGACATCAGTCGACTGAATTTACCATCAGCTATAACAATGAGAAGGAGACACCACAAAAACTAGACCTGGTCACCAGTGACATGGCAGGTAAGAGCTGCTCCCCCTGCGATGCCTTGGTGTCGCTCTGCAAGCAGAGCAGGGAACGGGAGAGGGATGGGCCAGCAACGTTACAAGCTCCAGCTCTCACACAAGCCCAGGAACAGATTTATCTGTGTTCATCCCAGATGTACAGTGAAGGAGCTAAATATATCAGTGGAAAAAAACCCCACTATTTTGGAAATCTTTTCTTGGAGTTTTTGGGAAAGATTCCCTGACTCTGAAATAGTTAGAGCTGAAGGTAACCATGGAAGGCAGTCAGGCATGGATGCACTGCAGGAATGTGCCTCGGATAGGATAGTTTGACTTTGCTAATTAATTTCTGTGTTTCTATTTAAACACAAATGTCTCTGGAAATGGAACAAAACATAATGCCCCTTGCTGCTGAGCAAATAGAAAACTTGCTTAGTTGGTTTGCAGTGGGATTTCACGCCCAGCTGGAAGTCGTGCTGAGACCCCTGCGCAGCTTTCCTGGTACTTGAACTATTTCAGAGACGAGGGCCCCTGAGGTGGAAGCAGGTAGATGAGGGAGAAGGAAAAAAACAACCACAGTCCTTCTCTCCTGTGCTACCTTGGCTCCAGGTCACTGTTTGGATAGAGCGAATCCTCACATCAGTACTATTTGCATCCCAAAGGGATGGTTTTTAATTCATCCTCTTAGCACTTCGTATCCCTGCCCAGTTTAGTCTGTCTGGGAAGGCTAGTGAGACCAGCCATTTCATAGCATCAGTGATCAGCAATCTTCCAGGAAGATTAATTTGCTGTTTCCAGGCTCCAAACCATAGAAATTCCTTAGAATTTCTCCACTGTGTTTGGCAGAGAAATACATTTGAAAAACAAATGGATGGTTACTGTAATTCCATATGGTGCTACCCTGGATATCTTTCAAAGATGGTTTCAACCCTTTACAGAAACTTTCAATATAAATATGCAGAGACCTATAAAGCAGCTATATTTCATGAAGGAAAGGGAGTGAATAAAGGTTGCTCACAAATCATGGTCACCTGGCTCCCCCGGCCGTGTCTGGGAGGACTCTGCTCTCTCCATCCTCCCCTCCCGCCCTGTGTGGGAAGTCTGGACTCTCAGCCTGGCCAGGCAGCTCCCCAGCCTTAGCATTTCACCTACAGTCTCCTTAAAAATAGAAAACATGAAATAGAAATGTGAACGCAGCCCAGAAATGTGCCATTTAATAATTTAATTGCAGAGGGCACACAGATTACATACAGGTTAACGTGCTGCCTGAAATTCCCCTCCTGCCTTTAAATCCCTGGCTGCCAGTTCCCGGGAGCAGCCAGGAGCGAGTGGAGATGCTTCATCCCGAGCGAGGGAGACTGCTGGGGAGGGCGGCAGCGACGCCGGGGAGAGAGCTGCACCACTTACTTAGTGAAATATCATAACACCTTCACCCTACATGCTGAAGTTTTGGGAAGCAGCCAGGAACTGCCAAAAAAATTCACAGGACATATGGGATCGGATTCGACGCTCATGTCAGATGAGCCCCGATGCCAGCAGAGAAACCGAGCTAACTTCTTCACGCCTGCGTCAAAACATGATACTTTAGCAGTGTCATTTGCTAGAGCTGTTCAGGCCACCGTATGTATCCCTTGGAGATTGTCACCAGCACCAGAGCGAGAAAGTTAGAACGCTGAATTTTCTCATAACCGTTTTACTGGGTTTTTTGAAAACCCTGTTAAGTCCAGCACTCCCTTCTTACCCGTCAGCCTCCGCCACTGGAGCTGTGAACACGCGCTGCTTGTGGCCGTGTTTCCTCCACCCTGCTCCTGCTTGGGACCTTTACCATCCTCAGCCCCCTCCCTGCCACCCCCCTTGACCACGGGTGACCCCCGGTTCCTCTGGCAGTGCTGGTGGCACTTCTCCGCCTGCGCTGAGCTGGCTTAGCACATTTCACACTTCCCTTGACTCCCTTGGCTGCAGTTCTGCCTAACTTCATCCTTCCTGTCAGTCACCTACCACGAGATGCCTTTCAAATAGAGCCAGCACTTGGTCGGGGCTTGTTAAGAATCCTCCGGGCATTTTAATTATTTCAGAAGTGGAACACTTGGCTTTGGAGAACTTCATGTTTGTAGATCTCCATGCAATGTCCAGTCTGTTGCTGGTATTTTGTTGACTTCTCTTTTCCTAAGGCTTTTGAGTATACTCCAGAAATGATGCTAATTTATTTGGGTGGGTGGGTGGGGAAAGGGAAGGAGGGAAAGGCAGGCAGATTGGAGCTCTCCCATGGAAGAGCTTCTGCCATCTCTGCAATGCTTGTTCACTGAAGGAGGTTACAGGACCGGTGCTGGGGCAAGGTTTCCTCACGCCCCTGATAACCACATGTTTGATGAAATGAGTCATTTTTCAACATAGCTTACTTAGCAATATCTATGACTTGGATACATAAAGTGATCTGTCTGTGCCTTATTGAGCAGTTCATGCTTCCTTTTAGATTATCAGCAGCCTCTCATGATCGGGACCGGGACGGTCACACGGAAAGGATCTACTTTTAGACCCATGGACACGGAAGATGAGGCAAGAAGGGGGAGTTCAGAGTTCGAAAATCACTACCACTGTCCGCTCAGAGCTACCCGGCACGAGTACGCGCTGCCCCTCGCCAGCCAGGAGCCCGAATACGCCACCCCCATCATTGAGCGGCACGTCGCAAGGGAAAATAATTTCCCCTCTGAGAACGGCTACAACGTACCCGTCGCCTCCTCTCAGAAACACTCCCTTTCTGCCGGCAGCTTCTCCAGCTCGTGTAAGACCGACCTCAGGAACGGAGACTATCAGACACCCCAGAGCATCATAAACTACGACAAGCCCAAAGCTAACGGTGTTCTGAGCTCCGTCAGCTACAGCACGGACTACCAGAAACCCCAGCCCAACGCCCTGGGCAGCGAGGGCTACTCCACCCCCAGAGACTGCCTGAAGCCCATCAGCCAGACAGCAATGACAGCTCTCCTGTGATCCCCCCAGCCCCAGGGCGCCCCGCGCGGGGACGGCGATGCGCGAAGCCAAAACAGGGTTTGGAGGGGCTCTGCCGCGGGAGGCAGAAGGCAAACAAGCCCTGTGTACATAATATTGCAGTCTTGCTGGGTTCTGACATCTGAAGAAAGCATATGCTGTTTATCACTGTTTATAGCAAGAGAGATGTTATCAGTGAAGACTGTACATCTTATTTTCTGTAACTGATCGCAGTGCTCCACTTGCAATGTGTGCAATTTGTACATAGCTTTTATTTAAGGAAAATTTCTTAAGTTTCCTTTTCACCTGGGGGACTGAAAGGATTGCAGAAACGCCTATTTAAGAAAAACAGGCCTCCTTCTCTGTCTTTACCTGCTGTTGTACCAGCAGCTGTAAATGGTGTATCTTACAGTTGTGGTGATTCATCTCCTTTCCTACGATAACTGAAGATAGGGCAGCACTGTTGTTCTTACTGGGAGGGTAGAAGTAAAACTACTTGAAGCATAAAGTGCACGAGAGAGAGCAGCTGAGCATTTAAATACTGTGCTCAAACCCCCCTTCCCAGCTGCTTTGTTAGCAGCAATCCTTACGTGCTTGAAGTTGATCTAGCGTATGAGCTGAGCCTGTCTAATTTGCTATTCATATTAGAAACAGGTAGAAAGGCTGAAACCAGTTTTGGGTTCAAGCCATGGTGAGCACTCTGCAATAGAAAAAAAAACAAAACCAAACAACAAACCAAATAACTGTCAATCTGTGGGGGTTTTTTTGCCATGAAGCGTGTGTGGAACCAAAATGTGAATTTACAGCTGAGAATTAAATCCTGTTCAAGCCCTAGCTGATGTTTTTTTGCTGCAAAACTATAAGGAAATTTGTTCTTTGGCACAAAGCAGCCAATTTCCTGAACTCTTAATTGCTTCACCAGGTATTTTTCTGTCTTACAAATTTAGTGTAACACTTCTATTTGATATATTTTGACCAAGTAAACCACAGTGTGTGTGTATGGCTTACTGTTGCAGTTAAATTTGCAAGACAGCACAGTGGTTTTCAAATAATAGTCTTTCTTTTGCAGCTAGTGTGACCCTTAATTCTGTTTTTGGACAAACTTGAAAAAGAGGTGGGGATGGGTGCAATGTACCACAGAGCAGCTGGCTCCTCTTTCACCAGTGGTGTCATTGAAGCAAAACAGCTCCTGGTAGCAACTGGGACCGGCCGCTGCCCTTCTGCCTGCAGTGCTCGGAGCGTCACTTTGAATTTAAAACCTTGTCCTAAAACGTCAAAAAGAGGATATACTTCTGGGAAGGAAGAATGGTGCTATATTTAAAGAACAAGGCTGGGGAAACGAGACCAGGAAAACCTGTGAGCTCTGAGAAAGCCGCTGTCTGAAGGCCCTCCCTTTCCTCGCGCGCCAACCAGGGATAATTTGCAAAGGACGCAACGAAGATCTGAGGCCTGTTGGCTTTCAGATCCTTGTTTGGAAAGTGGTGTCAGAGCCCACACTAGTTGCAGTGATGCTGCTCGCAAATAACCCTAACTCCAGCCATACCTCACCTTAGGGCGAGCTCTTAGTGGGCTCTTTGCTTGTGTTGAGGCCTCGCGCGGTGCCATTCCCTCACGCCGCCACCCTGTGCATGCCATTCCCCTGCAAGGTCCCCCGGTGGAGGGAGGTTACCCCATCCTCCCCTTCCCGTCTCTGCTGTCGATGCGGTTTGTGTGAAAATGTCTAAAACACCTCAGGTCCCAAAGTGAAACAGCAGCAGCCTGTTTGTCAGACCGAGCCGGGCGGCGTTGTTCACCTTCTGTTGTTTACATGTCTCTGTAAATAAAGAACACGGGTTATTTGTAAATCAGCCACCCGGGCCTACTGCTGAACTTGGCAAATTCCCCATCGCTGGGCGCCCCCTCTCCTCACACCCCCGTGGGGCGAGGAAGAAGCCTCCCTTACGCCCTGCAAAAGCACCAGTGGTGCAGAGGCAATTCACCGTCCCCAAGTGAGGGGCTAAAAAAAAAGATTCTCTCCATGCCCCATGTAGCCCAGCTTTGCTTTCTGCCCCATAGCTCTCCAGAAGCAGCGCCCAGGAACAGCCCAGCCCCACTGCTGGATGCATATAATTGAGGAAAGGATGAGGACGCCCTCCTGATGAGCCTGAAACCAATACTCCACCCACGCAGCTAATTAGCCCAACTTGTCGCTTTACAAACAAGTGGCATTCATTAATCAGGGCTACTCCCCACCACAGAATTGCCTAGGTTGGAAGGGACCTTTAAGATCATCTAGTCCAACCATCAACCTAACTCTGACAAAAAAAACCCCAAAAAAACCAAAACAACAAAAAGCCAACACTAAACCATATTCCTGAGCACCATGTCAACCCATCTTTTGAATACCTCCAGGGATGGTGGCTCAACCATTCCCCTGGGCAGCCCATTCCAATGCTTGATAACTCTTTCCGTGAAGAAATTGTTCCTAATATCCAACCTGAACCTCCCCTGGTGCAACTTGAGGCCGTTTCCTCTTGTCCTATCGCCTGTGACGTGGGAGAAGAGACCGGCCCCCACCTCTCTACACCCTCCTTTCAGGTAGTTGTAGAGAGCGATAAGGTCTCCCCTCAGCCTCCTTTTCTCCAGGCTAAACGACCCCAGCTCCCTCAGCTGCTTCTCATAACACTTGTGCTCCAGACCCCTCACCAGCTTCGTTGCCCTTCTGAGACCTCATGAGCCACCTAGATAATGCAGCAGTGCAGCAGATAACACTGCTTGTATGAATGACACAAACCTTTTGTACACCTCTGCCACACGTTTTGTACACCTGCAGTGTGCTGCAAGTGTCAAAGTGTTCTTTGTAGCACATGCCCCTTTCTGCTGCCGTTCAAACCCAGCTCAACACAGCCATTTTAGTCAAATAAAAAGTTGGGTCTCAGTTTGAATCTTGCCTTCATGTCCGCAAAGGAAAAAAAACAACCCTGCAGAACTGCAAAAAGATAGCTTAAAATAAATCCCCAAACACCTTCGTCCTCCCTGTGTCACAGTGGTGACAGGGACAGAGGCGGTGTGGCAGCTCTGGTGGCTGCTCACAGCTCCCGGTCATGGCTGTGGTGCTCTATGGTTAGTGTCTGAATGACTGTCGAGGGAGTTCACAGAAAAAGCCGTGGGCTTCTCCACCTCCACAGGACTTTTTTAGTGACCCTGGAAGCAGATATGCCAGGGAGCTTCCTACCTGAGTAGTCTTCTCTACCCTGACAGTGTTGGAGATACTAAATCCTGCTGTAGGAAGGAAAGGGGACTGCCCAAATCTTCCCAGTGGTAGTGGGTCATCCTCATGGTCCTCCTCTGAATGGCTCCTCACATACCGGTACATCGAACTGCAGTTTGTCTACATCAGCCTTTTCTCACCACCAAAACCAGTTTTGATATAACACAGGCAGCCCTAACAAACATCACATATTTCAAACTCTTCCTTCCACAGTGAAGGTTAAACGTATGCCCCGTTTTGAGACATTTACACACTTAGACCCAGAGCTAATGCAGCCCTTCCTTCTCCAATGTCTCTAGAGATTGTGGGAGAGCAGTCTGACCCTCTGGTCGATGAAGACCAGAGCGTTTCCCTACCAAACTTCTTTCCTGAGCAGGCGCTGGAAAGGGTAAAACTGAGCCAGAGTTCACAAGAAGGTTAACTATTAACTGGTGACAGCACCAAGGCCTATCAGTCCCAGCTGCAGTTGGCAGCAGGAAGAGAGTCGGGCATCGTTAACTGCATGTCTCCAACCAAGGGGACTGAAGAAGGCTCTGGAATTAAGAAAGGGTAAAAGGTGATATACACAACCTACAACTGAAAACCAAAAAAATGACAGCTTAGCATGCATTTCCAGCTACTGCCTTGTATTTAAATATGAATCAAACCCAAAAAACCCCACAGAAAACAACAACAAAAGTTCCTGAAACACCACAGCAAAAATACAAGTGTTCTTTGCTCTCACCTCCTTGGGAAATAGATTGCAAATTCTTATTTCTTCTGCCAAGTACCTTTCTAACACTCAATATGAAGACTTTTTTTTTTTCCTATCAAGTCTAATTCTAAATAGTATTTCCCTATATCTTTTCGTTTCTAGAGTTTTCACATCAGATATGAAACTCTACCTACCAGAACCTTTACATCCAACAGGCAATAGATTAAAATTAGTCCCTGACTTGCAGACTTGGAACTAGGATTTCCCCAGCTCCACAGATGTCCTACTCACTCACTCACAGCACCATCTGCTCTCTTTTACTCTCTTTCTCTGGATCAAGCACTTGGCCTCACCTCCCTCTCCTGAGAGCTTCCACAGGGTGGGTACCCCCGGCTTGCACTCTGCACAGCTCAGTAGCCCACTGGCTACCACAGTCTCTGCATAGATGGGGGAAGGCAGGAAAAGAACTGAGGCCAACCTTCATCCCCTACGTCTGATGAGTATTGCAAGCACTGAGCTACCACGGCAGTGGTCACAGCAGTGCCTCCAGCACCTCTCTGTTTTAAAATGAGAGATCCCCACTTTGTTCTTTAAAAACACCACCCATGAGGATTCCAGCCATTAGAAGCAGGTTGTGAATCCCATGGCCTGTCTACATTACTGGTGTGGCTAAACCCTGGGAAGACTGAGTTCTTAAATGCAGATTTTCTTCAGATTTTCCCCGCTAAGTGCCATGTGGCAGTTCTCCACTCCGTGGGCAGATTTTAGCGGAGCCCCATCTGAGGCATGAAATATTGCCTACACAGGATGGGGATATCAGGCTGTAGATCCTGTTACGGGCGCAGACACCTAACTGTGCTTAACTGTTTGGTGGATCAGTATTGTTAAAACACATATGATTTGTTTTCCCATGGTGCTAGAGGCTCCTGTCCCAACGCAGACATACGGCAAGGATTGCTGCAGCCTCCCCAGCACTGCTCCATCTTTGCCAGACTCTCTGGACACATCACCAGAAGCTGAGCTGCTCCAGGACTCATCTCCATTGCACTGGAGGAAAAAAATCTTGTGGCCATGCAGAAAATTGCAGAAGGCACCAAGTGCTTTTCAGTGCTCTGGTGGTCTAACCTGTATCTGCAACACAGAGCAAACCAGGTGACCAGTTCTCCATAACTGGTAGAACCTGTGACTCTGCTCCACTGCTGAGTGGGAGAAGTGTTAAGGGAAGCCCTCACCTCAGTTCTGCTGTGGCATCCCCAGCAAGCCCCAGTTTTGTATCCGTACAGTACAGGTGGCAACCATCTGACATGAGGACCCACTCGCTGTTTCTGAGGGATCCAAAAACCACAGCAAGGAAGCGCTACTGCCACAACAAATTACACTGTTTACACTAACATCCTCTGACCTTAAAACAATATTGTTGCATTTCAGCAACACCTGCAAAGATGTGCTTATAAATTCACCACTGAGGTAAGTCAATAAAACCTAAATGAAGTGGAATTATTTGTCTGTGTCCTGGCTTTTGCCTAAGGGAAGGCAACCAACTATTTTTTCTCCATGGAGTTCTAATTCTATTCATGAGGGCAAGTAATAAAACCCAAGAAGATGAGCAGGAGTTTTGTGACCTGCAAGAAAGGAGCCTGTGGTCTCACAAAAGTCCTGCAGGGTCAGGCACCCATTGAAAAGTAACCTGCTAGAAATCCATCAATATTCTTCTGTTCACCCCCTCTCCAAAACCAGGTTATGTTTGCTCAGTGAGTGGGGTGTCTTAAGGTCTCCCCTAGCCTGTAATTACTCCGTATTGTTGCATTCCTTTTTTCCCCCTATATTTTCCATAATAAAAATTCTATACTACCATTTTCTTTTCAATGTCAGCAGCGACGTAAACTTGTACTGATCTCCAACCTCTGCTGCGATAGTACAGCGCGGGGTAAATGAAAGCAGAATTTATCATTTCATTTGAAACTCATCGGTGATGTTGATACCTATACTGAAAATTACCCTCCTGTAGCTGTGTGGGGTTAACAAGACCAACAATGTTATAAGGGAGCAGCAGCAACAGCTATGAATTATTGAGGATGGAATAAGTTTCAAAGAACACGCTTCTGTAAAGGGAAGGTGCCATTTCTGCACAATCACTTTCAAACTTAAAATAGAAACCTCTCCTGAGGGCTTCTTTTTTGGAAGCCCCCTGGTACATTCCTACCATTCATTAAGGACACAGAAGAAGGGGTCAGATAAAGTACTTCTAAACTAGATAAAGACAAGAGGGAAGACAACCTTAGCTGGGGAAAATTCATGTTATCCATGATAAGGAGGACGCCTAGCATCTGACTTTCTGTCAGTTATCTCATTGTGTAGTCTGGACATGAATATTTGGAGACTTTTTCATTCAAACTTCACCATATTTATTTAGGCTTGGCCTTGCATTATGCATCTGCAAGTCCTGAAAAACATTTTCCATCTACAGTATGCAGAGGTTATCCAGTAACCTCTTGCCTGGGCTGAGTTAATTCATTATTTATTCAGCCACTTGCAACAACAGCTACTGAGCCACCATGCGACATCCACGAGATTATCATCCTCTTTATTTTCATACAGTCACAGGTGTTAAAAAGAGAAATCCAGGAGGGAGAAAACTTGATTAAGTTAAGGCACAACATCATTTTTCAGCATAGCAAAAAATATAAGCCAACATATGCGACACAGTACTGTTACGAAGGCTTTTGTGTCCTGATTAACCACCCTGAACTGACCTCAGGAATCCATAACTTTGACTAGACACAATTTTTTTTTAAACAGAACTTACTGGAAAAGCTCCCTTAATGATTTGCTTTATCTGCTCACCCAAAGAGGAACAGTATCCCTGAATATCCAGCATTTCCTCCTATAAGTCTGAGCTACTA